CCCTTGCGCTCCGGATCTTCCCACATATTTCGGTTGTAGTTCTATAAAAAGCAGCATCATCTAAACAACCAAAAGAAGAAAGTTAAAGACTGCTAAAAGAAAGAGAGTAAAAAAAAATGATAACCAATTCATGATGTCCAACAGCTGCAGCAAATATCAAAAGAATAAAATTAAAAACAGTGATGTAACATGAAAGGGGAGAGAATCGGTCAATGCTTAATTAGTAGGAATTGTAAATCAAGAAAGGTATGGAGGTTCGAACACACTGTTACACTGCATACACAGCTTGTGTGATCCGGGAAAAATAAGACAAAAATACTTAAAATTTTATGCAAGAGAATCAAATCAGGGCAATGAAAATAGAATATGTTTTTTGTAGCAACATGCAACATACCATGCATCCACATCGTTTCTTGAAGATAAAGTAATAATATGAAACATGCCAGGACAAATTCAAGGGTCAATTCCACAATGAACAACAATGAGACCGTGTAACAGTGACACGCCTAAAAAGAAGCATGCAACCAAAGTTGAGGATAAAAAGAATGAGAAGCGAATAGTTGGGCCTAAGAGGAATGGCAATGACCCAAAATCTCTACGAATACCATTGGAATTTTTTACATGCAGAACCAGAAAGTTAGTGTCTAATCAAAAAGACAACAACCCCCCCAACTCCAGGCAATAACAGACTGAAGAATGAAAGCATAGATTCTAGCCTCGGTGCATATTTGCATAAGTAAAATAATTCTACACATCAATTATAGGGTGGTACATGAGCAAAACTACAGGACCACAGAAAGCTAAATCCCATTATGCATCGAATGCAATCCTCTGCTATTGATATGCAGAGACCAGAGACAGTAACCAAGACAACCATTACCAAAGGCAGGAAGCTCATAACCTTATTTTTTTTCATCTAAGGGCAGAAGTTACATGAAGGGGATAGCCTTTCCCTTGAGTCCTTCCCATCATAGTTCAAAATATCGGCCAATACGGAGATGGCACGGAGACAACTCAGCGGAGTTGTATCTGAAATGGCATCTTCCGTTTCGAGGCCGGTATGCATACCATCTAAACCAGGAGTCTCACTAAACTCATGGTTAACTCAAAGATGTCTCAAACAACTCAATCTAGTCGTCCAAGTCATTATCATCGAATTGCAATATATTGCCCAATAGTGTTCCTTGATACTGTGATATGACTTAAATCTCTCGTTATGCACAAATTCTTCTTCATAGTATTTTGTATGTGTTGCCCAATTCCATTCCCTGGCACCATGAACAATAATGTGGCTCCGCGATCGCCGATTTGATGGTCAATACGAACCATGCTTCCCACAACTCCACGTCCCCACACATGCCCTTCTATAGGGACTCAAGACCCTGAAACTTCAAATGGAAGGGGAAAGACATGGAGCTACCAGTCAGCTGAGCACATCATGTTGAACCTCATCATCTTTTGACTTTTCAAGCATCTTCCCCCATGGTGCACCTCCAACATTCTCAGAAAAAATGTATATCATAACAGGCAATCAACCAAGGCTACAAGCCTTATCTGTAAGTCTCATGGCTCCAGTGCACCCATTACTGAAGGTGCATAACTTGTGTTCGAAAGCCTTCCATTGTCCTGTGAGGCGACAGATTGGGCCCTAGAAGTTTCTTTCTAACAGAATTTAGAAATAAATTTTGTTGAAACTTGAAAGCAAGTTAGGAATCCAAAAAAAGTCCAAGATATAGGAACTTCTTATACACTCCACAGATTCCTGACCAGAATTAGCATAGATAAACCATTTAACTAAGGTGCCACCATTCATTAACAATTCTAATATTAATATATACCAAAATATCACAATATGGTGTACGTACATAAAATCCAATATGTCCAATTCTTTTTTATATCTTCTGCTCTGCCAAATCAACTGCTTCATGGTTTCCATCTACCCCAAGGATTTTCAAATCAAAACTCAGTAACTACAGCAATGGTTTTAATAATCAGCTCATCTCCAAAGCTTTAATGAGAGTAAATGCTGTGCTAAAGCTACTTATATGAAAGTTAAAAGTCAAAACTCATCTTTGTGTTAAATACACACATCTCTTTTTTTCCGCATGCACCCATTGTGAATTCACTTAGATGCTCTTATTTTCAACACACAAAGAAAACTCACTCTTCAAATTTCTGTGATGTTTTACACATTTCAGATTTCATATATTTGAAGCTCAAAATTCTCACCAGGATTCAAATAATTATTGGCATAAGAATACATGAAATCATTGACCATCAAGCATAAAAAATAAAAAATAAAATTAGTTTTCAAATATCAATATGGCCACCAATGAATTTTACTTCGTAAAATATCAACAAGTTTCAGTAATTGATGATTCATTAGCCATATTAACATAGTACTATTGGCATAGGAAGATATGCGATCAAGATCACCTTAATAAATCACACAGGTGGTATATATTTGTTTGGGGGTAAGGGAGAAGGCCAAATTCCTTGTTGCTTGCTACACCAGGAAAAAACAGAAAAAAATATGGGAGTACAACCTATGGCGGCTGAAAGCTAACAGAAATTTTTTTGTGGCTACTTTGAATAACTAGGGTGGGCCTATTAATCCCTCTGTAGACAATAAAAACATAACTTTTAGAGGATCAATAATAACTATAAAATATGAGATACTGCAAGCAGAATGCATGCAGAAAATACAATAAATATTCATTATTGATGCAAGATAGAAGAAGCAGATGATATGCTATGAGCCACACAACTGACATTTCAGGCAATCTAAGCCTAACCAACATAAGGGAGTAGAAAAACATATAAAAAGAATGAGGATGCTGTCTGACAAAATCGAAACATTCAAAATTAACCTGAAAACGCATTCAAGTCCTCGTCCCTATCTGATTCTTCAGAATCAGTATCAGAAGAATCAGTCTCCGTATCCTCTGTAGATCCTGATGTCTTCTCTTCATTTGAAGCAGCAAGATTAGCACAATTAGTTTCTTCAACCTTGGAAGGTGACATACCCATCTCGTTGGGATTAATTTCTTTGTCTTCTAAACAATCACTGGAGTTGACAAGGCAGGCAGCTCCTGGCTCTTCCTCTTCTGACACAGGAATAGAAACAGTACAGCCATCAGCCTCTGGGTGAAGAACTGATAGCTTTGCACTACTCTGCATTACTTGAACAAGAGGACGGCGCTTGTCACGCCTCTTGACAAGAGATTCGTCAGCCAACTCCTCATATAACCTGTTCCTTTTGTCTACCAAATTTTCACTGTTCGCATGAACTGAACTTTCTGTGCTACGACCACTGCTAGAAAGAGCATGAAGACTCTCGTCAAACGCAGGCTTCTGAGAACCATTAGAAGCAACTGAAGAAGAAAGCTTACGCTTTGAAGAGGCAGTCCTGAGACCAAAGTCCTGCAAGCCTCTCATCCGAGGTAGTGCACCAGAGTTATCGTCATCCCCATTCAGTTGATGGCCGCTTTTGCCACTGTTCTCAACAGATAAGTCCTGACCCTTAGAACGTTGATGAGATTTAGGGTTCAATTGTCTCCCAGTGGAATTTCCCAAGCACTCTGAAGATGTTGACAACTCTTTCTTTGCACCATCTGATGATTTACTGTTCCTTGCCTTAGAGCTATGACCTACTTTCCCATATTTCTTCTCCAACAGCTGCTTCTCAAGTTCAAGAGCATGAAGTATGGCATCTTCCCGACGTGCATATTTCTCTCTTTTCTTCGGAGGAATGCCAAGGGAAGCTTCAGCCCTTTCAATGCACTCATCAAACTCACCACATCGAAATGCCTTCACACGCTTGGACTTTTCCAAATTGTACCAGTCCCTGGTACGACAGTAGAACACAGCACCAATAAGTTCATAAAAAATAAAAATTAGACAGACAAAGACTATAAATTTTTCCTTCATTAAGAAATGAACAAACAATGCACATATACCCAAGTATTTCACGACATTTAAAAGGAGCAGTTTGCACAATATCTCTACACAGAAGAGAACAAACCACCTATACCAGCACAATTGAGAAGCAAGCAGTACAACAGAGATCTCCATTGAGATTTTTTTCAGAAGGTAATTTCCATTGAGATTTTCGTAAACAAAAATTTCATCATGCTTAGCCAATTTATTTTTTCCAAGTGTATTGGCCACTCGCTTTTCCACAAGGCATTCCGATGAGTTCCTAACCATGTAAATGGCCTCCTCCAACAAACCTACTTTCTCTGAATTTAGTGACCAACAATGTCCTCCACTCCCTATCTTCATACCACTAAACCAAGAGATTTGTTCCTTTTTGTTTGTCTATCTATTTGTAGTAGGAGCTTCTTTCCTTCATTGGTGGGAAAGCAATGGCACATTCACCTAAAAGGCACAAATAAGAAGAATTTGAAGCACAGTATTACTGTTCCCCCCCCGCCCCCGCCCCCCCGGCGGTGAAAAACCAGCGTATCAGTACAAGTTGAAAGATGATAGCCCTTGGGCAAATTATCACTCAAAGAAAGGGGATGGGGAACCAACAACCTAAACTAGTCAATGAAAAACACTGAGCCTTAAGTTTGGCCAATCTTAAAAAATAAAATGTGTATACCTAGAGAAAACAGAAGCTACAGCACTGCAAAAACCAAGCCACATCTAATCATATCCTACAAATAAGCTATCCCTACCAGATGAATACATTTTACTTCTTAATCCATCCAATCCATTGCTCAAGTCAGTCCTGATGTCCATCATAAGAAATTATGTGCTCTTGGTTATTATTAAAGTCGCTATCTATCCACGCAGGCCGACAAGCAGCAAACACCACAATAGCTGCACCAATCCAATACTATTACAAAGCATAATGCATAAAATTTCTAGCTCTCCATCTCATAAATGAGTCCCTATAAAGTGTAAAAGCTTGCCTAGCATGCAACAGGGAGAGTAACCATACCCAAAAAATTGATTGGGTGGCTAGTTCAAGAAGATTAGGGCCCATTTAAAATGGTCATTCTGGAATGTTATCTTGTTAATTCTTCTCACAGTATCTTTTTCATCTATTAACTTTTCTTAACCAAGTTTAATTTTTTAAATAAAAAATATTTTTTCCCCTCCCTTTTAATGTTGATATGGTACTCCCCTCACAAGGGACCATTCAATCCGCCAGTGGTTATGGTTGGTCCCCTATCTTCTTCAACACCAGTTATCAAGATCTTCTATTCCTAAATTTCTCTCTCTACATATCCACCATTCTATCTCTTATTTTCTCTTGCTATACTTTAAGACACTTTCTATACATGTGAAATGAAAAAGAACACATTATTGTCAAATGTTGAAATCAAGAGTTTTTTTTTTTTTTTGCTATTGAAATCAAGAGTTCAATAGTTTAATAAAATGAAACACATTATGGTTGGTATAATAACAAATATAGCAATTGATGAAAGTTTATCACTTTCATCATGTTGTATGTTTCCCAGAAGTATGAATTATGAAACAATGACACAACGGTAAAAATGTATTCCTTATATATAAAACATACAATCATGACTTGAAAAGATGCCAGCATAATAAATATGTATTCCTCCTATATGAGACATGTTGTCATGGTTTTGATATCAAAACTTCAATATTTTAATCTCCGAAGTTTTCATTCCCCCATTATTTGACAAGGCATTTTAATCTTAAACAGCTGAACAATGGAATTACTCTCAAAACACTAACGAATAGGCATTTTCCTTTAATATAAAGTGCATTTCTGTTCAAACCATCCCTAATCAACAACAAAACTTCACCAAACAGTATTTTTCAAATGAAATAAAAGATGTAGCATATGCACTAGTGACATTCAACGAGCTACCAAATACCAACCAAAGCAAGAGGAACCCATGACCCAACAATAAATTACACAAAATTTAATAAGAAACAGAACAGACAAAACAGTTCATGATCCACCATCAAACGTGCAGCAATCAGCAAGTAACCACAAAATAATAATGGTGTCAGAAGCTCAAATTCAACTTAAATAGACTCACACACTGGCGTCTTCCCTCCCAAGAAGCTTAACCGGTGTTCCGGATCGGGGAGACATGAGATGAGAAGCCGAGAGCTCATCTGGGCCGAGTATTTTACCAGGCCACCACGACCCGTTCCGTCTCCGAACCCAAACGATACTCCCAACACTGCTATCAGCAACGCCAGTTCCCGTATCCGAACTACCCATCTTTTTCTTTCTCCAAAACACTTGGGTAGATGAATTTTCTGTTTATGCTATCACTGTTGTCTTTTTTCACAGCTAGCTATGTACTCCTTACACTCTCTATGCACAATCTGTCTATTTTCTCTATTTCAAATGTATTAAACGGAAAGAAAAAAAAGTTAAAAAGTAGACAAATAAATAGAATACAGAGAGAAGGATCTGTTGGTGATCAGTGAGAAGCTAATTGCTCAACCTCCAGAGAATAAGAGCGAGGAGTTACAATTGTTACAGAGGATTTGAAATGTGCCGCATTGGGAGGATCCGATAGAAGAAATAGTGGCTAGGGTTAGGGATTCCATTCAAATTTGGGGAAAATTCATATCTAAGGAAAACTGTGACAATTACATGGGATTGATTGATGGCTTCTCTAAATCAAAGATCGGTGGTGTTTTGTGTTTTTTTTTTTCCCTATCTCTCTCTCTCTCTCTCTATAAACGTTTTAAGTGTATGTGGTTGATTAACAACAGGCAGGTTGGTTGAGGGAAGCTATGAATCGCGGTCTTGACTCACTGATTAACGTCGCTCGAGTAGGTGTCTGCAATACGCCAACGCGTGGTGCGCATGCCTCACCCACGGCTCACTTTAGCTTTGACACGGCAAAGGGGACTATGGGGGCTATGGGACTACGAATTGGATTCAATAATCGGACCACCATCGTAAAATGGTTTGCTCCGCTCAATTCCCAGACTGTACGTACTCTTTCTCAAACTACTTGGAGCGTGTTTGTTTCGAGTATTATATAAGTCTGGTATTAAAAATATATTTTTTATATTTTTAATATTAATGGATATTAGTACCGGTAGTAAAAATTATTTCAATCATCTCTCATATTTATTTATTCAATAGGTATTATGGTGGATCTCATAAACAATCATCTATTTTATCACATCTTATATAATAAATATACGATTTTACCCTTAATATCATTCATTCTTTAACATCATCTATTCCATTCAAAATAATTTTTAAAAAAATTAAAAAAAAAATCGCTGACATTGTACGCTTAAATATAATAAAAGGAAAAAATTTAAAGTAATTTTTTTTAAAAAAATTCGATAACATTATACGCTTAAACATAATACCAGAAAAAAAATTCAAAATAATTTTTTAAAAAAAACCGTTAACATCATACACTTAAACATAATATAAGAAAAAAATTTAAAAAAAAAAATAGGTGACACAGTACACTTAAACATAATAAAAGGAAAAAAATTCAAAATATTTTTTTTTAAAAAAAAAACCATTAACATTGTACATTTAAACATAATACAAGAAAAAAAAATTAAAATAATTTTAAAAAAAACGGTGATATCATACACTTAAACATAATATAATGAAAAAAAAATTAAATAAATTTTTTATATGTGAACTCTTCACATAAAAGGGTATTTGTGTCATTTTATTCTCTTATATCATTCTTTCATTTGTATTGAGAAGATAATACCACCAGGTTGGTGGTATTTATTAATACCATGCAGACATTACGGACACTGTTTAAATCAGATCGATATTACGATCCGAAAAATAATATTGACTATAAAATGCTAAACAAAATATACATTTACAATCTTATACATTTACAATCCTATGCAATCTTATACATTTATTACTACATTTTTAAGACCGATTAAAGGAAAATACTAATTAAGTGATAGAAATGTTACTTAACCTAGTTATCACTTTTTTCATTACAATGACGGTTTAATCCTCTCATTTGTGTGACCTGTGGATGATGCGAACGAGGTCGTTTCCATGGTTAAAATTGTCGATGGAGCTCGACAAATTTGTTTTGTTCAAATTGATCAACTTTATTGTCAGACTCCGTCAGATTACTTTGTTGCCCATATTATGCTCAACAACTGAATTGTTACGGTGTCATTTTAAAGGAGTTTTTGGTCAGCTCATATTTCGAGCATTAAATGGGGTTGTGTCATTTGAGATTTAATAGTTTAACGGGAACGGCTCCTCTGCGGTAATCCATTTACCGCATGATTTGCTGTTAAGTGAAACAGTGGCGTTTGAGGTACTTTTTTATAATTTTTTTTTAAAATCTTTCTTACCAAAAATGATGTCATTTTTTATCCTTGAAATCAACTTCAGCAATCTCCCTTTCTTTCTCCCGCTTCTTCTTCGTCAAACTGGGACTGTTTCTCCCATTTTCTTCACAACTCAGTTTCCCTCTTCTTCTTCGTCAAGTGCAGTGAACGCCAAACTCATTCCCCAATCTTCTGAAATTCACTGTAAGGATGTATTGCATTACTTTTCTCTTGTAGTGATTATGTATCGAATCATCACTTTTCCTGTTGTCAATGATTCCACATGCTCATGTTCTTCCATGAAATTTATGTTTACCTTTTGCAACATCACTTTTAGTGCTATTGCCATTTCACAGCCTCCATCGTTAGTGATCTCACTTTCACATTTGATGGGGTCAGTGTTATCAAACCCTTGCGAACTCTATTGTCAAAAACTGCTAGTAAACAAACCCTTCCAATAATGCCACCATTGCGACTAACTCCTTAAAGTTAGGGAAGTTTTTTTGAAAACATTAGTTAAAAAAAGGAATCTAGTTCAATTTAGCTCAATAACCCTACTTATTTTTGGTAATTAACAGGAAATGCTTGAAGATATAAATGGCGTTTTTTTTAAAAAAAAAATTTGAGGGGGAGAGGCTTTGATTAATAAAGGAAATCCTAGTTCACATATTTGTTGAAAGAATTTTTTGTAATTCATTAAATTAGGATTCAATAAATGGAGCTTGAAAAGAGAAATAACTATGCTTGCCTATCATGTTTTTCTGCAGCAAGCTTGTTAATGAATCTAGTTGCATTTATGAATGCAAGTAGCCATAGAAGATGTATGTAACATATTGTTTTTTGATCTTGTTTCTATTTTTATGGTTAATATTGTTCTAATTTGATTTTTATCTTTTTTGAATGCTATACTTATATTATGTGTTTCATTCACCGCATAATGTCATTTCAATTAAATTTCTTATTGTAGGATAATATGATGGATGATTTGGGACTTAATGCGACTGAGAATAGACCTCATATTGATATACAATTTGATGCGGAGAAAGGTGTTTATACAATTTACAATAGTTATGGAGGGTCTATGAGATTTAAAGTGAGAAAAGTTTTTCAAAATAAAAATTTGAAAGATGACATTGTCATTTACAGAAAATATTTTTGTTGTAAACAAGATCAAAGGGTTCGTGATAAAAGAGAATGGAAAATAAGGAAACCTTAAATAGAGACACAAACAAATTGTCAAGCTCATATGTGCATATCTCTTAATAGGGAAATTAGTAAATTTGTTGTGGTGAAATGGGACGACAACCACAACCATCTTTTGTACCTTGCTGAATATATGCATATGATGACATTTTAACGAAATGTTGTCAGAACACAAGACATTAATATTGATATTGCAGTAGATTGTGGATTGTCACTTAAGGCTTCCTATGAATTTTTAAGTACTTAGTTAGGGGTGTCCATGGGTCGAGCCAGGCCGGGCTAGGCTTGCGAATTCTTTTTTGGCCCAGACCTGAGTAGTATAAGCCCAAGTGAGTAATCGGCGCGGGCCGGGCCGGGCTTTAGGTAGGGATAGGCTACTCGCAGCCTAACTCGTGAGCTTATTGGGCAAGCCTACTTGCGGGCTTTTTTATATACATATTTATTTAAAAATAATGAATATTTTTGTAACTTAACATTTGTATAAATTATATTTTTGAATCAAAAGTAAAGTGAAAATAGATAAAAATAAAATAATGAACTACATCTAATAGAATAAAAAAATCTCAACTAGGTTGACACTTACTAACTTATCGGTCGTTTGCATTATTTTATCATTTAAAATTTATATGCTTAATATATGGAAAAAAAATAATACATTATTTATTATATCTAAATTTTTAAAACTTCAAATTTCGATATTAGGAGATTTGTTTCAAAATTTTAAATTTAATGGTCTAAAAATATAACTTTTTTCAAAGGAAGAGTGGGAAGGTGGGTTGGGCTTGTGGGCGGGCTTGACGACGGGCTCTTGGGCAGGGTAATGGGTTTGAGAATAAACTCAAACCCTCTTTTTAAGAATATTGAGCTCGGGTTCGAGCAGGGCAACTATCGGGCCTATCGGGCTTCGGGCCAGATAACGGGACTCATGGGTAATCCGGCCTATGGACACCCCTATACTCAGTCTGAAGGAAAGGAAAGTTTAGGTTTTACTCGTCAAGACCAAAAGAATGACCTCTGTGAAAGGAGGTAATGAGATTTGAGGTATGGTGAGGAAGGTAATTTGTTGAAATATTTTCAAGCGGAAACAACTAACAATCCATCATTCTATTATGGAATGCAATTGAATGCGGAGAAGCATATTACTAATATTTTTTGGGCCGACCCAGTGATGATTATTAACTATGGAAACTTTGGAGATGTTGTCTCATTTGACACTACTTTCAGAACAAACAAGGAGTATCGACCCTTTGCTTGTTTTATTGGTTCCAATCATTTCAGGGAGACAGTCTTATTTGGAGCTGTATTATTGTATGATGAAACGATATCATCATTTCAGTGGTTGTTTGAGACATTCTTACAAATTATGTCTGAAAAATATCCTATTACCATCTTCACAGACCAAGATCAAGCGATGACTAAAACTATTTCTATAATGATGCCAGAGACATACCATGAGTTATGTACTTGGCATCTTTGCCAAAATGCTTTTAAAATTTGTACGCGCGTAACACTTAAACCTATAAATATATTTGTTAACAAATTATACTTAAAGCCTCCTGAAGTTTATAGGTCTATAATACTTAAACTCCTTAAGTTTAGAATATTATACTTAGACAAAAAATGTTTCAATCAAATATAGAATATCAAATATTTTAAATTTTATAATCAAAATTCATGTTCTATTGTATTATTTATTGAAATAAATTAAAAATATATATTTTTTTCTTAAAAATCATAATTAGTATACAATTATACTATCTACCGGAATAAAACTAAAAAATCAAACAAAGGATTTAAGTTATTCATAATAAAACATGAATTTTAGATCTAAAATTCATGTTCTATTATGTCATTTATTGAAATAAAATCAAAAATAAAAATCTAATTGTTTAAAAAAAATCATAGTTAGTATATAATTATACTATTTATTAGAATAAAAAAATAAAATTAAACAAGCGGTCAAATTGTAATGGACACAATATCTTTAGTTTTAATTGGGATAGTTTGGTATCATTTAAACGATCAAATTAAATTTCAATAAACAATATAATTGTATACTAATTACAATTTTTTTTAAAAAAATTAAAATTTTATTTTTTTATTTTATTTCAATAAATGATACAATAGAACATTTGTTGAATAATTTTCAAATATCAATGAATTTAATCAAATATCAATGGATTTGAGTGATTAAATGACAAATTTCAAGGGGTCAGAGTGTAATTCTCCCAAAGCTTATTTGCTGAATAATTTTCAATCACTTATGCTCTGTTCCATTCCTCTGATCAATTGACCTTCATCCTCTCTTTTTTTTTTGAAGTTTTTGGTAGATTTTTTGAAGTTTAATATGTGATTAACTATATTGTTTGATGTAGCTGTGTTTGATCCATTTTTTCCAACAAGAAGCTTGAGCCAAGTCCTGAACGTAATGGACCAAATGATGGAGATCCTTTTTCTCTAATCACCTCGTGGAATGGGTTCTGGATAAGAGGATGGAATGTGAAGGAAGATAAGGACACTCTGTACATTCGAATCGACATGCCTTTTGTAGACAAGGACAACGTGAAGATCACGGTGGATCAGAACACTTTGATCGTGAAAGGGGAAGGCGAGAAGGAATCGGAGGAGGATGAGCACGGGCGGATATAATCGGGAAGACTGAAACTACCTCCGAATGTGTACAAGCTTGATCGGATCAAAGTTGAGATGAAGAATGGTGTTCTGAAATTGATAGTTCCCAAGGTCAAGGAAGAAGAGAGGAAAGTTCACGAGGTCAAGGTAGAATAATTTTCCCATAAGCTTTTGTATCAGATGTTTTTCCTAACTGATGTTTTTGCCCCCTCCACTAAAAACGTCAGTCGAATTGGTATTTTTAGTAGTGTTATATACTTTTTACCTTTCCACAAAAAAGTTAGTTAGTTTGACTTTTTGTCGAAAAATGTTATTTCAACTGACGTCTTTCGGTTTTAAAAAAATCATTTCAAATGACATTTTTAAAAATACCTGAATTTAAAAAATACTTTAAAAACAACTATTTTTTGAATATATTTTTATACAACCCCATGAGTTGGGGTAAAATCTCTCTCATGCGATGTCGGTGGTTGTTTAAAGCACTCATTTGAGACTTTTTTGAAGTGCCCCTTGGTGTCTGATTTTTTTTTAAACCATAGATGTTATTAGCCTTCAACTTGCTCCCAACCTCATTTTTTCTAAAAGCACTATTCGTTATCAAATAACTAAATTTTTTACTATTTATTCACTTGTCCTTTTTGCATTTTTACGACTGTTTTGTTTTAACTTTTTACATAGTAATTGATGATGCATAGAAGTATTTATGCAAAATTAATCAATGGATAAACTAAGAAGGGCTCAACACAAGCAAACACAAAATGAGTGGCTTCGATCTGAGTGACTTATTCCACTAGGAAAGGCTACAGTGACCAAATAATTTTATTGCTTGAGAGTGTACTGTGCTGAGATGTTTGCGATACCCCCCATGTGTAGGCGAAATTTATAATTTATAGGTAAGCGAAGTTGGCTCCGATGACTCTGATTAAGGAGTTATCCTCACAAGGAGCAGAATGATGTCGTGAGTCTCGTTGCTTTATCCTTTTAAAGGGCGACATGATAGAGAGGTGATCCCTTGAAGCTCACTCTACCTTGTAATGAATGAGGTAATTTTGCAAGGCTGGCGATGTGTTCTTGATAACTGTATACCCATGATTTATTTTTCTCGAATAGAGACTCTCACGTGCGTTGATGATGGAGTGGGTCTCTTAAGAAAATGGGCTTGGCCATACCAATTGTAATTAGGCTTTTGTTGTTTTGTATTTGTGGTCTGGGCTCAATTTGTGTCTTTGAGTTGGGCTTAGTTTGCATCTCTAATCTAGCCTAATCTGCATCTCTAATATGGGTACGGTCTAAGTTGGGTCCATCATTTGCCTCTCATGCCCAAAGTCCAAAGGAACTTGGGAGAGAAGATATCAGTAAAATTTCATAAAATATCTTTTTCAGCAGATCGAGTATGGCGCGAGAGAGGAGCCGAAGTCGTCGGAGGTGAGAAGTAGAGGAGTCCTCATAGTTGTTGAATGGAAAATTATTGAAGTTCAATCAAGGAGTCCTGAGCTACATGTGAAATATTAGGACTTGTTTGGTTTGCATTTCAAAAAATAATATCTGAAAACTATGTTTTGGGAAAAGTTTTAAGAAATTATTTTTAAAAAATTTTAGATTACAAAACCTGTTTGGTTCTATATTTTTAAAAATAGTTTTAAAAAATAAAAATTATAAAATTCGTTTGGATAATAATCCATAAGTTTCACCTCTTGCTTTAACTCTTTGTCTCTCTCTCTCTTTCTTTCATTGTACATCAAAGACCCCCAAAGCACAAAGCACCAACAAAACTCACAACCACCACCACTAAAATCCACAACCACCCAAAACTCACAACCACCACCAAAATTCACAACTATCGAAACCCACAACCACCATCAAAACCCATAAAGCACCACCGTCTTCATCTTCGTTAAAGAGGAGGAGTTGCAGAGAGAGAAAGAGAGAGAGAGAGGATGGAGACAGTGCTTAGAGTGCACTCACCTGTGTGTGTTCAGATCTAGAAAGAGTCTATTTGGAGAAGACGTTGGCTCTCTCTATGTGTTCGTTCTGTCTGAGAGGCCAAGTGGAGAGAGAGAGGGAGAGAAAGAGTCAAGCAGAGAGGAGGAAAAAAAAAGAAGAGGAAGCCTATAGAATTTTGTTGCTAAGAAAATTTGAAGGGGAGACCTTATTAAAACCTCTTGTTCTATGTGTTTTCAAGATTTTTAGCATAAAAAACAGAAAAACAAGTCTAATTTGTTTTCTAATTTTTTTGTCTCAATTCTTTTTTTTTTTTTTTTTTAAATTTGAGAACAAAAATGCTAAACAAATAAATTTCAAGTGTTTTTTTGAAAACAAAAATTAGTTTTCGAAAATAAAATCAAACAGGCTCTTATTTTCCGAGGTGAACTTCAACACTTTAATATAATGCAATATAAAAAGGCGGAGGGAAAAATTTTCCCCAATTAATCTAGTTGGAATTTACGGGTAGGGGTTCAGGTTGACCATGCCGGGTCGGATACCGGAAAGGCGAGCCTCGACCCTTCTATCTCTCGGTTTGTACGAGTCCAACGTTGCAATATTCGCAGCCGCCATGTCTGGGGCTCCCACCACTATAAAATCATAAAATAATGAACTGACCCAAGACAGTCATATCAGCTTCCACCGTTCTCTAACCACCGTTCTCGTGAAAATTATTTCAGCAAATCCATCCACTTCAAATTACTGAAACGTGTGATTTTCTATAAAATCATTTCCACCATTTCAATTCTATCTCAGCCAAAAATGGCATCAGGGACATCTGATCTCGAGCAACCAATTCTATCCTCTCTCGGAAAGGTTTCTCTCGAAGTTTGCGTTGTTATTTTTTGTATGTGTTTGTGTTGGGGTGTGTGTAAGAAAGAATTTATGCAGAGATGCTACTTTGTTGGTAATTAGGTTGGGAAGTCATCGGGTGAGATTGGCGAGCCTCTAATTAATGGGGGCCGCCGATCTGAAAACTATTCCGTGCTCGCTGCAGTACTTCCGTGAGTATATCATTTTTTCTTGTGCTTTTCAAGTTTCGTATTTCTGCACATCCACACGAAAATTGAATGCTTGTGTTTGTGATATTTGGATTTCTATTTTTATGTTTTTTTTTTCTTTCTTTTAATGTTGTGATTGTTGTTATTGGGACGACAACATAACAAATTCCAGTGAAGGTATGATTGTTTTAGACTTACGCAGTAAGGCCAGCTGATATAGCTGGAGTTATTTGATCGAAGATCAGGGTAAAGCTCTTCTAATTTGTGATGGCTTGCAGAATGAAGTCATTAAAACTTTGGGTTTGTCTTGTGCCAATTCAATGTAAAACAAGGGCATGTTGATGTTGACCTTTATCTTTTCGTTTTCTTTGATAAGTAAACAAGGACTAGTGAACTTGAGCATATATGCACGAGTAAGTGAAATGTGATTAGTTAGCAGATAGTTCAAATTACATAAGACTATGACTTGGGAACATCATCAGTCTTTCTGAGGACAGACTTATTGTAAGTTAAATGACGTATTTAGCTCACTAACAAACATTAGGTTATTTCAAAACTTTGGAAATGGTTCATTATAGAAAGTGGATCTGAACGATGTTCTAGTAGTGAGAAGAGTGTGTGGGTGTGTCATGCTAGAATCATGTAGTATCGCTTTATGACATGGCTATGTGTCTAAAACTGGAAAATCCACACTGCTTGCTTCTTGAGATTGAGTAAGCAGATAAAGCTAATGGAAACACACAACACTCATAATATGATGATTGACATGTACTTGGGTGTTTGATTCCTGTCTACAAGGTGATTGATTAAGTATTGTAAATTGGACATCTGCATGAATAGGTGAACTGGTTCTTTGTTGCTTTCACCCAAGCTAGGTTTCCAATCCTCTAGGACTCCCCATCATTCTTGCTACCGCTTCTAAACATGGTGTGCTTGTCTGACAGTCAACTTGCATATCTGCTTATCCAATTGAAACAAAACCCCCATGCTGTCGAGCTTTTTATATTCAATATGTGATGAGTGACTTCATGATTTCAGATTCCTTTTCCCAGCTGTTGGAGGACTACTTTATGGTTATGATATTGGTGCCACATCTTGCGCTACAATTTCAATCGAGGTATCATCTGAGCTGATGCATTATTGCATTTCACTCTCTTTTATCAGTATGAAGAGTAAGTTTGGTATTATTATAGCCAAGAGTTAATCCAATCTTAGGTAGTCTCTACAAAAGGAAAAATTCTTCAAGCATTCTTCTTAAGATTAATATGATGTCATCGCATTGATTGAAATCCTTCCTAATAAAATGTATTCTGTGGTTTACTTTCCAAAGAGGTTGTCATGAAACCCCTAATTTAGTCAAATGTTCTGAATTGAATCTTGGTCCATGTGTAAAGCATTAAAAACTTTGATGGTGAAATGAGGTCTGATTTTTCAGTTTGGGGTTTGAACCATTTACCAAAAGATTATTCATAGAATCCCTGGTTTTGATATACCATTACCAGTTGATTTGAATCAACTATTGGAAGACTATTCATAAAATTCCTGGTTTGATGCTTCAGCTTAGGTATGTGTGCATTGATTTTTCCTTTTCCCTTTTCTCTTATAAGAAGGTAAGATTTTAACTGGATTTGTGTGAACATTTTTGAAATATATGATTGTCATCTGTTGATCACAATTTTTGGATGTAATATAAGATTTACAAAACTAATTGCGATCAGGATGCTAATACAGGAGGTAGTAGTACAAATTTCTAGGTTTCAACTATCATATCTTATACTAGTCCTAATGTACTTGGCATGTATTTACTTAAATTATTGAACTTTTAGTTTCCATGTTATTGAGCCCTAATCTAGGTAAACTTTCCCGGGTTTCTACGGCGGAAGTGTGTCCTTTTTGGTTCCGCAATGTTCTTGCCAAGCAGATGTCATACTGCCTTTCTCATATGTAATTCGTCATTTTTCTGAGCTCATTGCTAAGGTCCTGTTGGTTCTGTCTTATGTTTCTTGGCATACTGTCAGTTCTTCATTCCTTATAAAGCCTTTCCGTAATTGTCAACTCAGCTCTACACGTTGAAACCTTGACTCTACTATTGAGGATTAGCTACATAGCTCTTTTTCGGTAATAGTATTATTGCAAACATTGCATTTAACTAAATGTTAAGAAGAAAACCCAATAAAGCTAGTGCACCAGAGTCTAAAAATGTTCACCAAAAGTACATCTCTAGTCGTATTAATTCTTAGTGTTATGTAGATGATGGGTGAGGGAAATTATCAAACTTCAAAAGTGCTTCAATTTAACACACGAAAATTAATTGGATACCCTTGCATAATTTGTTGCTGCCTGTTACTAGTGATGCTATTAGCTATGTTTAGCCATCTTTGATTGTTGATATATCGAGGAATACTTGTCCGCCGAAATTAACATCTTCCATGTTTATTCCAAGCATCATGGATAGATGGGTTATTTTTGTTATGCATTTTATAACATCACCCAAATCAATAAGCAATGAGTGGAGAGGCCTTAAGGATATAAACTAACCTTGGGTGATCTTAGTCATTCGATGTGCAATACAAGCTCTCTTTATATCCTTCCCCACGTGGGACCGGGCTCACACTTGGCGCTAGCCATCGGCTGTGGCCTAAGGCCATCAAAGCGGTGGTTTTAGGCCCCTAAAAAAATAAGGCCTAAATTTTTTTTTCCGAAGTAAAAATAAGGCCCCAATTTTGCTATGTATTATAGTTCATGGTAGTCTTTTATATTAGATAAGAGTTTTAAGTTCAATAAAAATAGTCTTATAGAAGTCTATGTTTAGGGGAAAAAATATAAGACCAAGCCCAAATGATTAACTAAAAGACACATTTGATCTAATAAACTTGAGACCTTATCATTATACTTCATTTTTTCAAAGAGCAATAGCTGCAATACTACCGAAACCTAAAAATTTGATTTAATAATTTGATCAAATCATGTGACAATTAACATAACCTGATAATATTTTTTTAATTATCATTGTTATACTTTTTTCTTGGGATAATAATATATGTTAAATCATTAGGTCAAATTATTATGTTATGAGAAAGATTAAGTAAATTAATCATACTATTAACTACTGTTACCATTATTTCATATATATATATATATATATATATATATATATATATAATCAATAATTTTGTACTTTGAAAAGTGAAAAAAATTCACTTAAAGAAATATAAAAGCATCAATCAGATCAGTCACTTTAGGCCTCCAATCATCTCGAGCCGGCTGCTAACAAACATGCATATCGAGAAATTCAAATGTGTAAGCGACTTGATCCATTGACAACCAAGACTTAGCTCCGACACTATGTTAGAACATCCAACTCAAAACTAATTGACAATTTATAGAGAGATCTCTTAAGCATATAAATTTTTTTTGGGTGGCCCTAGTCATTTGATGTGGTACAAGTCTCTTTGCAATGCAGATATATGTTGAAATCTTGATATATCCGTCCATCATAGCAATGTTAGGCAGATATATCTTCCCTTCAAGTAAAGCTAAATTTGACTTTTCAGCTTATACATGGTAATTGTTCTATGTTCTTTGCAGTCACCTACATTGAGCGGGGTCACATGGTATGACTTGTCTTCTGTGGAAATTGGTTTCATAGTAAGTTTATAACTTTATTTGCTTGTTCTTACGCGTTTTCATGTAGTGGAAATTCTTTCTGGCCTCTTTTTCTGCTCCATGGACATAACTGTCTTATTGGCTTCTAATTTTTATTCAAAAGGCAAAAAATGATACTTATTTTGTTCTGCTGTTGCCTGTTGCAGACTAGTGGCTCATTATATGGGGCTTTGATTGGCTCCATATTGGCTTTTAATATTGCTGACTTTCTAGGTTAGTTCTTGTTCCTTTTATTGGCTTAAAGTGTATGATGCTTCTCTTTGAAAAAGCTGACGATTGATTTGGACATTAGGAAGAAGAGGGGAATTGATTTTGTCTGCTAGTTTTTATATTGTTGGAGCACTGGTAACTACACTGGCACCTGATCTGGTTGTTATGGTGATTGGACGTATTGTATATGGTGTTGGAATTGGGCTGGTAAGATTTGAATCATTTGATGTTTGAAATGTTCTTTTTTTTTGGCCTAGTCATTTTCTCAAATGCATGATGATCTTATTTCTGCTGGTTGCTGATATATAGGCAATGCATGCAGCTCCAATGTATATTGCTGAGACAGCTCCAAGTCAGATACGTGGACAACTAATTTCTCTTAAAGAGTTCTTCATAGTTTTTGGAATGCTTGTAAGTATCCCAATTTACAACAATCTTGCTCTGGGCACTTCGATTGTCTTAAGTTGTGCTTTACAGATTACCAAGCAAGAACTGCTAGGATTTCTTTCTATATTCCCTTCTTTTTGTGTAGGGTTGCCAAGATTAAATTATTAGTTTATATGTTTTGTAGTGTTCTGTGATAGAGCTTGCAAGTTCTGAGTACCTCAATTACTTTGCAGCTAGGTTATACTGTTGGTAGCCTTTTGGTTGATACAGTTGCTGGTTGGCGCTATATGTATGGAGTTAGTGTCCCTTTAGCGATGGTTATGGGCATTGGAATGTGGTGGCTACCTGCATCACCTAGATGGATTCTTCTACGTGCTATACAGGGAAAGGGCAATGTGCAGGATTTAAGAGAGACTGCCATAAGTTGCTTGTGCCGACTTAGAGGTCAAGCTATTGGGGATTCAGCTCGTGAACAAGTAGATGAAGTTATGTCTGAGCTTTCTTATGTTAGTGACGAGAAAGAAGCTACATTAGGAGATATGTTTCGTGGGAAATGCTTGAAAGCCCTAACTATTGGTGCAGGACTGGTCTTATTTCAGCAGGTATCATCATCAATAAAGAGCACAGGCTTCTGACATTGAAGATATGAGGTTAGGGCTGTTAAACGAAATGAGTAGCTCGGGATTGGCTCGCTCAATTGCAGATACAAGTCAAATATGAACAAATTTTTGAACTCGTTTGTATTCGACCAGAGCCCGAGCTACTCAGTTGGCTCATAGAAGCTTGGCTTGTGTTCCACTTAAAAGGATTATGGTACTTGAGCTCCATCTATAGGCTCGGTTATTTTTCATTTTTAACATAAAATATCTAGGGTCTAGCAAACAGTCAAGTTCCAATTCCCAAATAACTTCCTGTGTGTCTCTCTCTCCCCCCCTTGTAGTCCAAAACCCAAACCAGTGAA